GTAACAGGCCTCCTTAATTGTGAGAAGGTCCATTTCTATTTGTTAAAGACATCGGCTTGTGGTATTTCTGGTCCAGCAGCACGCGGCCATTGCGGCTGTCCCTGTACAGTGTTAAGTGTTGAATGTCTAAGCTGGGAGCTCTTGTCACATCCAGGGAGATAATGAGGAAGTCCCAGGGGCTTGTGCTGGTGATCTTCTTTCCATCCCCAGCCTCCTCCCTACCTCATAAATAGGTTTAGGTGACCAAGGAGGTAACATCAGGCAGATAAATTCCGATTTCACGGATGCCAAGCACATGCAAATCCACCTCTCGGGTCTTAGATACTTATGTTTCTAAATACTGACTCCTCAGAAGGAGAGCTCCCTGGTGGCATGATGGTTAAATGCTCAGGTGCTAACCCTAAGGTCAGCAGTTCAAACCCACTAGCTGCTCCTGAGACGACAAGACCTGGCGATTTGCCTCTGTAGAGACCACAGCTTTGGGGACCCCGTGGGGTGGCGCTGCTGTGGCCTGCCGAGTGCACTCAGTGGCAGTGGATTTGGTTTTGTTGTTGTTGTTGAGGTGCTGTTTTAAAGCATAGAGTGAGAAAGTGTTGAGGGAAGTGTTAAGTCTCATTGTCTCACTGGCAGGTGAAAGTTTCTTTTCCATTGCACAGCTGGTGACGTGTCTGTGTTTGTCTGTCCCACACCCCTCACCAGAGTGCAAGCCCCATCCTGTTTGAGGCCTTGACCTCAGTATATGTGATAGGCCTTCAGTACATGTTTGTACTAATTAAATATTTGAATATTTAAATAATTAAATATTGATCAGGTGGCACCTCTGTCATGCATTAACATGCATGTGTTAGATTCATAAGTATTGATAGGAAACACTTGATACTGCTCTGAACTTTGCTTTTTCTCATTGAAGGATTTACCCTGTAGTCTTTTCTTTGAATGTACGAATGGTTCTGTCACAAAGCTCCATTGTAAGTCTGTTCTCACGGAAGTTGAGTACTTTTTAAAAAACTTTTCATTACTATTCCCTTTTATTATCATTGTCTTCATAAATCCAGTCTTTATTGAATTGGTGAATCACGGGCCGCAACATTGTATGTAGGACTTTTATGACTCAGGATTACTAAAGATGTTTTAAAAAAGGCAGTGCCTTTAATGTGGTTTGTTGTAATTTGAATTTAAGTTGCTGACTGTGTATGAGTAAGTAATATCCTTCAAAAGTACTGTTTAGTTTTCCATTTGTTGTGCGATGTCAGGTTGAAACTAACTTACAGCTGACCCTCCATTGAGGTTCCAGAGACAGTAAACCACACCGGGGCACCATGTGCCTTTGGGCGGGTGGCACAGCTCCTTACCACTCACATGCCAGAGCTCCGTTCTGAAGAGAAAGCTTCTGACGAGCCCTTTGGTCAACCAGTCCTCTGCTGGCCACTTCAGAAACCCTGGTGCTTTAGTTACATGTTCGACAGTTAACCAGAAGGTCACTGTTTTGAATCCAGCAGCTACTCTGTGGTAGGAAGGTGAAGCAGTTTCCTCCCATAAAGATTTACAGCCTTGGAAACCTGATGGGGGGTTGCTAGGAGTCGGAATTAGCTCTAGGGCAGTGGGTTGGCTTTGGTGGGACAGTGGTGAAGTACTCAGCTTCTAGCATAGAAGGCTGGTAATTCGAGCCCTTTAGACCTGGCAGTCTACTCCCCTGAAGATAAAGCCTTGCAGACCCTCCAGGCAGACCCCACCAGCAGGCTGTGGGTCATGGCCACCAAGTTCCTTCTCACTTTCTTGCCCTTACAAACAATGCAGCAGGGAAGACCTTAGAACTTACAGGTGGGCAACCCCCAAAAGCTTGCCTGGAGGAGGGGCGCCTATAGGTTTATCAGCTGGGGCAGAAAGGGGGGGGGGAGAGAGAATGAGAGTGTGTGTGTGTGTGTAACGTTTTTATAGACCTGCCGAGTTTGTGTGTGTGTGTGTGTGTGTGTGTGTGTGTGTGTAGGCTTTCCAGCCCTTTGCATATAATATCCCAGTCTTCTGCTGACCTAAGAGATAGACCTTGTCCCATAGAGTGTGGGTACAGGATCTGGGCCTTGTGAGCCCCAAAGAAATGGGACTAGTGTGGAGTGCACCTGAGAGGGCTGCCTGGAGGAGGCGTGAAAAGCTGGTCTGTGAGAAAGAGTCCAACAAACTTGACTCCTGGTGACCTTGTAGGGCCGGGCAGAACTGCCCTATAGAGTTTCCAAAGTAATGTCTTGGAGAAGATGAGCCGTCGTGCTGCTTAGAGGCAAGAATAGCGAAGCTTCGTCTCCCCGACTTCGGGCATGCTGCTAGAAGGGGCTATTCCTTGGAAAGGGACATCAGACGTGGAAAGGTGGAGGGTCACCAAAAGAGATGAAGACCCTTAACAAGGTGGTCTGACGCAGTGACTGCAGCAATGGGCTCAAGTGTGTTGGGAATGAGAAGGATGGTACAAGATAGGGCCGGTTTCAGATCTGTTGTTCATAGGGTTGTTATGAGTCGTACCTCACTCAGTGGCACCTAACAGCAGCATCTTACGGACCCCAGACACAACTTCTTTTCTCTCTCAGAGGGTTCTGACTACTGACATTTCAGCTAGAAACTTTGACCACCACACCCCCATAGTCCCATTTCCAGCCCGAGTCCATTAGCCTCTTGGAGACCAGAACATTACAGTGATAGAACTGCAGTGTATTAATTTAACATGGTTTTGTCATGCTGTTGTATATAAGACTAAAATACGTGGCTGTTGTTTATTAAGGGCTCTCAATCAGATTCCGACTCATGTTGTTATGTGCAATCAAGTCACCTGTGACCCACAGCAACCCTATGTACAGTAGCTCTGAAGCCTGCTCTGTTCTGAGCCAGTCTCACTGATTCCAACACACCTACTTCCATTGCCCCAGTTACTATATCACTCCATCTCATCTGGGGTCTTCCTCTCCTGTGTTGTCCCTCCACCCTTCAGAGCATGATGTCCTTCTCCAAGGATGGGTCCCTTCTGACCACATGTCCAAAGTATGTGAGACGGTGCTTCATAATCCTAGCCTCCAAGGAGAAACTTGGTTTCACCCTCTCCAAGACAGACTTATTTGTTTTCTTGGTGGTCCATGGTATGTTCTAGACTCTTCTCCAGCACCACAACTCAAAGGCATTGATTCTTCTTCTGTCATTCATAGTCATTGCCCAGCTCTCTTGTATAGCAAGTAATTGCAAAGACCACGGCCTGGATCAGGTGCCCTTTAGTCTCTAGGCTGACATCGTTGCTTTTCAGTACTCTGGAGAGGTCTCTGACAGCAGATTTTCCCAGTGCAGTTCGTCTTTTGGTGTCCTGATTGCTGGTGCCAAGAGTGTTGAGTGTGGAGCAAGCAAGTTGTTACTGTTAACAACCCCAGTCTCCTCTCCATCTAGCATGGTGCTGCTGATTGGCGCAGTGGTGAGAATCTGCCTTTTTGATGTTGCGCTTCAGTCTAACTCATAGCAGCCCTAAAAGAATAAAACTTGCCCAAGGCTGTAGAACTTTATAGAAGCAGACTGCCGTATGTTCCCTTGGGTTCAAACCACCCACTTTTTTCAGTTTGCATCTGAGCACTTAACCCCTGCACTACCAGGGCTCTTTGGAGAAGAAGCAGGGGCTGGAGAAGGTGTCTGGGGCCAGACTGGAGGCTCCTGGGAGAGCTGCTCAAGTTCTCAGTAGGCATGTGGTGAGTGGGAAGTTTGGCCTCAGGACCATGCTGCTGCCTGATGGGGCAGGAAGCCTGTAATCTATTGGGCCCCCAGTTTAATTGGTCTTGTATAGCAGGGGGATCCCAGCCCCCTTGAGAACCAGATCTGTTCTGGAGAAATGGACTCACTCACTGCCATCAAGGCAATTCCAACTCATAGTGACCCTATTGGACAGAGAACTGCCCCATAGGATTTCCAAGGCTGTAAATCTTTATTGGTGCAGGTGACCACATCGTCCTCTCTTACAGCAACAGATTTGAACCACTGACCTTTCCTGGGGCACTTAGTCGAGACCGGAAGAGTGGATAGGGATAATAAAATAACAGCAGTAGGAGCTGGCCGGATTAAACCTTTATTCCATGCTAAGCCTTGGCCTCAGAGATCCTCATAATAGCCCTCAAGGGGTACTCCCCCAAGCTTCATTTCTTAGAGGGGGCCAGGGAGACCCGAGATCCTGCAGCCAGGAAGTGGCTGCGCCAGGCCCCTGGGCTGCCAGACAGAGCACTTGGGGAGGAGCCAGGGAGGAGTCAGGCGCCAAGGACTTTGGCAGAAAGGCCATGTGAATCCGGTCAGGGTCCAGGATCCTGCCGCGAAGACCACAGGCCCAGTGTCTCCAAACGCCCTGTTGACAGACCAGGGCCAGCTACTCAGCTCAAGCCAGCTAACGGTGTGCCAGGGTTGGCAGGAGCCGGGGACTGTCAGGGACACAGCCCTCACTCACTCACCCTGGGCCCACCGCAAGGGGTGGGGGACAGACTGCAGCAGGACGCTGCTCCCGCGGGAGGAGGGTCGAAGGTACAGCTTTCACACTGGAGGGGAGCGGAACCGCCCACGCTTGTCCCTGAGCGCCAGAAGTAACTTCCTACGCCTCCCAGAGACAGATGCTATGGTGGGAATTGGGGGACGCCACTTCCACCAGCAACCATGAGGACAGCACCTGCGTTGGGGAGTTGGGGAGTGGGTGAGAATGTGGAGGGGGTGTTCAAGGTTGAGACTCCTCCGCCATCATTCCAGATAACGCTTTCTCCACAAAGACAGCAACCATTCAAGTTCAGGGGTTGAGGAGCTCAGACTATGGAGACCTTAGCAGTCCATGGAGCTCAGACTATGGAGACCTTAGCAGTCCATGTCACTGTTCCGTGGACCCTGCCATGAGGAGGAGCCTTGGGAGAGCTAGATTAGGCTGACTGTGGGGGGAGGAGGGCCTGAGCCCCACCAGCCCCCTGCCCCCCTCCCCTGCCTCCACTCTCTTCCTCTCTCCCTTGCAGGCCCAGGTGGCATTCCTCCAGGGAGAAAGGAAAGGGCAGGAGAATCTCAAGGCCGACCTGGTGCGGAGGATCAAGATGCTGGAATATGCTCTGAAGCAGGAGAGGTGAGCCCCGGTGCGGCTGGCCCTGTCTGCGAGGAGGCAGGCCCTTACTTGGGCTCAGGAGGGGACACCCCCCCACACACACACCCCCGCTCCTTGGCACTCTGTTCTTCCAGACTGGGGGGTGTTGGGATGGAGTGTTGCAGCCATCAGCCTGGCCCGCACAGTTTCTGGGAGCAAATGGAGCGTGGTGCCCTGAGCGTTGCTGATGGTAAGGTTAGGAGAGACCTCGTTAGCAGACCTGGTAGTAATAGTGGCCCACTGTGTGCCATACACTTCCTACTTGTTACCTCGCCTTGCTCTGCAAATGGCCTGATGAGAGGTCTGTATTAGCCAGGTTTCCCATGAGGAACCGAGGCTGTAAGGTGGTGAGTGGCTTTCTCAAAGATTCACAGAGCTGAAACAATCACACAAGAGCAGAAGGGCAGGATCACCCCAGGGAGAAAGCAGAGCAGGACGTGAGCGAGGAGGAGGAATGGAAATGAGAGTCACAGGGAGGAAGGGGGAAGGATGAGATTTCATTGTGGTGTTCCTGTCAGTGTCCCAAGTCAAAACAGAACAGGTAGAACTGATGACTGGAAAAGTCACGTGCTCTGAAAACTTGGACACACACCACGCAATAAGAAGTTTACGAAAAAGAGTTTCCTATTTCTGTGCTAAGAACTCAGACAGCTTGACTCCAAAGAGCAGGTTCCTAACCAAATGTGCTGTGTCGCGTCACCCACCCCCACCAGCCTTGCTTCTCAGCCAGGTGGCCAAGGAGGAGGGTAGTCAAGTCAAGGGCTGGCGTGGTGTTCAGCCTAGGAGGTGGGGAAGTGGCCTAGGAGTTGGGGTTCCTGAGGCGAGTCTGGGAATTCCTATCCTGAGTCTCTGATCTGTGTTAATTGTTTGCTCTTTTAGGGCCAAATATCATAAACTCAAGTTTGGCACAGACCTGAACCAGGGGGAGAAGAAACCAGATCTCTCAGAGCAAGGTATCCCTCTCTGGCAGCCCCCTACCCCAGTTCCCTAAAAGCTGGATGTGCAGAGGAAGCGTATGGTGGAGTGACTTTGCTTGATCCCCAACAAAGCAGAACTGGCTATGGGAGTTGGGGAGTCTGTGCAGGTAGGGTGCTGGGCCCCTCTGCACGCCCAGAGAGGTCATTGTGCCCTCTGGGGGCCGTGTGAGGTGATGCGACCTACAGACGGGAGTCGGCGGAGGAGAGGCTAGAGTTGGAGCTTGGCTTCCCAGCTAGGCCTCCTATCGGCGTTGGTCAGGTGCTGGCTTTGTGTCATGTGCAGAGGTGGGGGGTGGTCAGCAGAGCGTGTCGGGAGACTGGCTGAGACTGTACAGGTCTCTGGTGCAGGACGAACACCGACATTATTTATCGGAGACTCCTCCGGCTAGAACGTGAGCTCCATGAGACCGGAGATCTTTGTTTATTGATGTAGCCCGTGTCCTGGTGGGTAGTGAAAATTTAAAAAAAGTTAAAGAAATGAGATGAATTATCTGACAGGATCTCACACCATTCCCAAGAGGCTGCTGCTGTCATAACTGACCTTTCTCAGAGGAAGAGGAAACTGAGGCCCAGACAGATAGCTGTGCTCCGATAGGGAGAGGCTGCGTGGGCCTTGAACCTGGCTTTGCCCGTTCTCTTAGAAGCAGTCCAGCCATTTGAACAAGAAAGTGACAGAGCTGGGACTGAGCTTCCAGAGGCTTGGGGCTTGGAGAACGACGAGTCAGGAGAAGAGGGGTGAGGGGCATTTCGAAGAAGGAGATTGAGAACAGAAGGCAGTGGGCACTTTACGACCCCTGAGGAAGTGGACCCCTGTGACTGAGGAAGTGGTGGACCCCTGAGCGAGACAGCCTGCTTCCTTCTCTCCCGTCAGTCTCCAATGGCCCCGTGGAGTCAGTCACCCTGGAGAGCAGCCCGCTGGTGTGGAAGGAGGGGCGGCAGCTTCTGCGACAGTGAGTGTGGGGGTGTCGAGGGAGGGGCCGCACGCTTGGCTCAGGAGAGAGACCCAAAGACTCCACAGCCCTTCCTGTCCACGGGGGGCACTGACAAAGCATGATCCCAGCTGGCCGCAGCTGGGATGGCTTGTCACCCTGGATAGGGAGGGCCCTACCTGGGGACAAGGAGATGGGGGGCCCCTGCCCGTGGGAGGAGGGAAAGCATTCTCTGGAAGTTATCCTTAACAACCCTAGAATATTTGAAAACGATAATGCTAAGTGACAAAAGTGATTTGTGTGTTTTAAAAAACTTTGTCCAAACCCACTGCTGTGTGGAGTCACTTCATCTCGCAGTAACGCTGTACAAATAACAAACCTTCTAGGACAGAGTGAAACTGGCCCATTGGGTTTCTGAGGCTTAACAGGACTAGACTGCCTTGCTTTCTTCCACAGAGCAGCCGGTAGGTTTGCATCTTTGCACCAGCAGTGCAACACTTAACTCATTCCATCACAGGAGTCCTGTGAAGACTATTAGGGAACTTTCAATAGCAGAGGAAAAACCAAATCAATCCGCTTTATCACAGAGGAATTTCGCATGTCATAGGTGTGAGCCCTCTCTGCTGTAGCTACGTGTCTGTGTGTGTGTGCACATGTGTGTGCTTTATAGAAGCAAGGATTCACTCCTCGTAATTTTTTGTTATTTATTGCTTTTTTGCTCAATGTAGGGTGGTAACTTGCATAAGGAGTAGGTGTGTCAGTGAGATTGGCTCGGGATAGGACAAGGTGCAGAGATACTGTAATAGGGTCGCTGGACCGCACTGAGCAACAGCAGCAGTGTGGCCTAGTGGTAGGAAGCTGCACTGCAATCCCAGAAGCATGAAGTTTGAATCTCCCTCCCGGCTGTTCCCCGGAGAAGGAAGGGCAGTCTCCTCCCATGTGATTTACTGCCTCTGATAACCGATTAGAAGGTCAGCTACGGGTTGATTGGACTCAATGGCACAGAACAAAAGCAACAAGTAAACGTCTTTCTATATAAATTAGTACATAGGTCCCGACACATGGGCTGTTCCTATAGTTTTCAAGACCAGGTCAAACCCACTGTCATCAGGTTCATCCGAGCGCATTGTGACCTTGTAGGACTGAGCGGAACTGCCCAGTAGGTCTCCGGAGGCTGTAAATCTTTACAGAAGCCAACTGCTGCATCCCTGTCCCTCGGAGCAGCTGCTGGGCCTGAACTGCTCACCCTTTGGGTTGCAGCAGAGTGTGCCAGGCCTCCTGTATTTCACGTGTACTTTCAGTGACTGCAGGAGTCTGTCATGTAGACAGCCATCACTTCCTGTAGCCAAGCCCTTGTGGTGAGTTTTTTTTTTTAAGGGCGTTTTTCACTTGACAGTATCCGGAACAATATGACAGACATCAGGAAGCTATTTCTGCATTTCCTTGACTTCCTGAAGCTGAGTATCTGGATGTGCACTTGCTCATTAGAGCGCCTGTGCCCAGTGGCAGCACCGTGATAAGAACAGGCAGCACTTACCCCCCTGGTGTGCACGCCCGGCCAGGCGTACTCGTCCTGCCCTGACTCCTCGCGGGGCTCCCCCTGTGCTCCGTGACAGCTGCCCCTCATTTTCTCCTTCCCACCGGCCTTGTCACTGTTGGTCGTTTCCATCAAGTAGATTCCGGCTCAGGCCTCCTGGGTGTAAAATGGAACGCCACCCTGCCCGGCGCTGCCCAGCCTCACAGTCTCTGCCGAGTGTGAGCCCGTTGTCAGCAGTCCACTGTGTCAGTCAGTCTGTCTTGTTGAGGAGCTTCCTCTTTTTTTCCCCGACTCTCTACTGTGCTGCCGGCCCAGAGGCATGTGAGTCACCTCCGACTCCGTGGTACACACCAGCCATGACTGTTTGACCAGGCGCGGTGTTTTTCTTCAGGTGCTGGCCCCTTCTGAAAACACAGCCAGAGTTGGGGAGACAGACTCCCAACCATCCTCAAAAATCCCTACTTGCAACAAATTCATCGCAAGCACTTTCACGTGCTCATGTGGCTTTTAAATCATTGCAAAGGCTCCAAACCTTTTTGAGCAGAAGTAAGACTAGAGAAGAAGCCCGTGCACTTGTTTTGAGTCGCTGAAGGATTCAACTTAGAGACGTACTTAAAGACGCATCTCCCTTGCAACCTGAAAAAATGCCTTTTTCCGGAGGTCTCTCTTATTGGGTTGTTACTGATGTGTGTTATCCCAGACCTCTTAGAGAGACGGCACCAACGTGTGATTCCTGGGTACTGAACACTTACAGGGACCTTTTTTTAAACAACAGCTTGAGTTGTGCAACACTTTTCACTTACAGCTTCTGTCCTGCCTTTTCTCATGGCCCCGTCTTTGGCCCTCGGCCTCATTTGCCCTCTGCCTGGTGTCTCCATCAGTAATTGCTTATGTGTCTGACAGGGAGATTGGTCCCTGTGGCATCGCAGTGACTCACCATCACTGCAGTGTCACAAGGGGGACAGCTGGGTCCCAGTGTGCCCTAAGTGAAGCCTGGAGGGTCTGACCCCAGTTTCTCTGCCCCCCCCAGATACCTGGAAGAGGTGGGCTACACAGACACCATCCTGGACATGCGCTCCAAGCGCGTGCGCTCCCTGCTGGGCCGCTCTCTGGAGCTCAATGGGGCCGTGGAGCAGCCCAGCGAGGGGGCTCCCCGGGCCACGCCAGCCCCCGGGGTGCTCAGCGGGGGCGAGTCACTGCTGGTGAGGCAGATAGAAGAACAGATCAAGAGGTGAGTCCTCTGGCCAGGTGGGCCCAATGTCAGAAACACTGACGGGTGCCCCTGGAGCCGCAGGGACCCTTGGGAGTACGTGGTGGGCTAGCCTGCTCTGTAGCCTCTGTCTTGTCCTTGCCGCAGACCCGGGGTTGTGTTCTGGCTCCTTCACCATCGTCCCGTGGCGTCAGCTGGCCGGCCTCGGCCTCATCAGTGTCCCAGCCCCTCGTGTAGACCAGTCCTCTTGTTGGCACCTGCTGCAGGCAGATCCTGGGCAGCATACCAGGGACACAGTGGGGAACAAACGGACATGGGCGTTTGCAAGATCTCTCCGCAGACACGCGTTACTCATCGCATAGTTGGTGTTAGGGCCGCCGGGTCAGCTCCAGCTCAGCGGTCTGGCGCGTATGTCTGCCATCTTTGCTCTTAAAGAGTGTTCTTGCTGTGAAGGACCGGAGTGGAAGGGAAGTGGGTGGACAGGGAGGAAGGGGCTCTTGGTTGAGGTGACATTTGAGGAGAGAAGGATCAGAGGGAGGGCAGGCCACCCAGGCGGCTGGAAGAGGGGTGTCCCAGGCCACGCACACAGTGAGCTCAGAGGTCCTGAGACAGGAGAGGCTCAGGGTGTTCAGGAGGAGGAGGGTGGGGGTGGCGGGGCCAGGGAGAGTGAGCCTGTGGGCTGTGGCTTGTGGTGGCAGGTCGAAAGGTGAAGTCAGGGAAGCCAGCCTCCTGGTCAGGAGAAGGAGCGTGGATTCGTCTGTGGGGTTGTGGGGAGCTGGTGGTTTAGGGCAGGGCTGAGGCATCTTGTAAACCTGAATCGCTGTGAGATGGCCAGACCACAGGGGGGCTGGGAGAGATGTGGGGAGACAGGGCAAGACCCAGGGCATGAGTCTGGGGGACGGGCCACAGAGGGGTCAGATCCCAATGCTGCTCTTAGGTCACATCAGTAATACTAAATGGATCAGGTGTCAGGGGAGAGAGGGAAATTGAGGGCAGTTCCAGGGTTTGGTCTGAGCACCAAAAGGAGGTGACCCAGTGGCACACGGGGAGGTCCATGTAGCGTGCATGGTGCCCACCAGATGCCAAGTGCTTCCTCCTTAGGAGACACTGAGAAGGAGGCAGGCAGCTGGAGCAAAAAGGGAAGCCCTGGACAGCCTGGGGTGGCGCCCACATTTAAGAGCAATGTGGTGAAGCAGGCAGAGATGACACAGCGTTTGTTGTCGGAGGAAGGTGGGGAGGGTGGCTCCCCGAAGCTGAGTGCACAGTTCTCTGGATGCTGTGCGGGTGCTGTTGGGGCACATACCCTGGGGGCTGGGAAGGACTGGAGGACCGCAACCCAAGCCTGTCAAGCTGATTCCAACTCTGATCTGTGTGACAGACTGGAGTCCCACCATGGGTCTTCCAAGGCTGTCAGGATTTATGGGAGCAAACTGCCTTTCTCCTGGGGGAGCAGTTTTTGGGTTCAAACCACCAGCCTTGTGTTCAGCACTTGAATTTTTTAACCACTGTGCCCCCGGGGCCCCCTTAACCTAGAAAGGAGAAAGGCGAAGTCTGCAGTAGCTATCCACCAAGGCCACTGACAGAACCCTTAGAAGCCAGTGTCCTGGCTGAGGGGGACACGCGGTGTGAATCCCTCAGCTTTCCACCCGGGGGTCCAGCTCCGCCGATGCCTCCTGTGCTGACACTCTTGCTCTAGTTAGGTCACTAAGCTGTGTGGTGGCACCAGGGCCAGTGCAGGCTGTGTCTACGGCTGGGTACCTGTGGGTGTCCACGCAGGTGGCCACGTCACGCACTGTCTGTGTCTGGTTAGATGAGGTCCTGGGAACAGATGTGCTGACCCAGCGACACCTCGCGTAGACGGGTGGACCGTAGCTCCGATCCCTTCCTGTGTGCTTTGTCAGCTGGCAGGCCTAACGGCCCCTCATCCCCTTGTCGTGGGCAGGAACGCAGCCGGCAAAGACGGCAAGGAGCGCCTGGGCGGCTCGGTGCTGGAGCAGATCCCCTTCCTGCAGAACTGCGAAGACGAGGACAGCGATGAGGACGACGAGCTGGACAGCGTGCAGCACAAGAAGCAGCGTGTGAAGGTGGGCTCACCACGGCCGCCGGGAGGGTCGCTTGGCCTGGCCGGCCCCGGCCCTGCCGCCTCTCTCCCCCCTGGCCACCTGAGCCCCTGTGTTCCCAGGTCTCCACAGAGGTGGGCGCTGTGGGCTATGGGGCCTCGTCATCTTCCCTCCCTGAGCCCCGTCTTCAGCTAGGCCCTCACTTCCAGAACCTTCAGGCGTACCTGTGTCCACCCTGCCCGTTCCTCTCTCTGCAGGGTTGGGGTGTACTCTGCTGCCCAGGGGCCCTTGGTAATCTGCAGACCCGGGCAGCGCCCTGCCTGATTCTGAGCACAGTTCTGCGGTTTCTGTGGGGACTGTTGCTCCCTTCTTCTCGGTCTCCCCGCAGTAGGTGGTGAACCCTGTGAGGGTAGGGACGTGTGGGACTCAGTGGACATGGTCTCCACCACCTTGAAGGGGTGTGGACCAGTGCAGGCTCTCAGGAGCGACGCACGTGGCTCAGGTAGGAGCCAGATGGGGTCTAGTGGGGTCAGTCAGTCACCCCACTTGGCCTGGTAGGCTGGTCCCCACGACTGCCCTCTCACCTTGAGCCCCTGTGCTTCCGCCACAGCGGTGGTGCTCCGCCCCAGGCCTTGAGCAGAGAGGCAGAGGTTCTGTCCACACCTGGGAGGAGCCAGGGCTGCAGGCAGAAATCACACCTGGCCGAGCTGACGTTGAAAATCCCTGAGCTGTTTTCTATAAAGACCACGTGGTGCTTTGTGTAAAATAAACTTGTCTGTAAGGACAGAGTGAGGAATCATATTGGAGGTCGGTTGCACGGCCTCGGCCGTGGCTCAGAGGGATTCGTTCTGTGGGTCATATGTGCACGGGCCTGCGCTGGAGAACGGAGGACTGTTCCTTCCCTGGCCAAGTCGACCAGGTTTGTTCACGTGCCCAGTGGACACACTGTCCGACCAGGTGTGTTTGTGTGTCCCATGGACACACAGTCCTTCCCCTGAGGGAATGAACCAGATTGTTTTTCTCATCCTAGAACTCCTCTTAGCTGCCCTCTACTTTGTTCCACATCTTTTTTTTTTAATTTTTAATGAAAGTTTACGGAGACTTAGAGTTTCCAGTCATTCATTGTTGCACTTTTCTCCCTGCCTGCCCCTCCCCCAATCCACTCTTCTCCTTGAAAAGTAAAACTCTTTCATTATGCAATCCCTCCCTCCAAGTCCACTAATACCCAATCATATATCTCTTTTAAACAGTTCTCTCCCTCATCTGTTCCAATGCAGTATACCTCAGTTCCTCCCCTCCTTCTCTGTCTTCCCTCAACCCCGATGTCAGTCCTATTTTACAATAGTGGCTCTGTGCAATATTTATCCTTTTGTGACTGAGATTTTTCACTCAGCTTAATGTCCTCGAGGGTCACCCATTTTGTATAATAGTTCAGGAGTTCCTTGTTTTTCAGTGCAATGTAGTATTCCATTGTGTGACTATACCAGAGCTTCTCTATCCATTTCTTTGTTGACGGACACTTGGGTTTGTTTCCAGCTCTTTGCTATTGCGAACAAAACCGCATTAAACGTGGGTGTGCTTATATCTGCCTGGGTGGCGGTTATGGTTTCTTTGGGAGTTGCTGGGTCAAATGGTATTTCTATTTCTAACTTTTTAAGAAAGCGCCATACAGCCTTCCATCGTGGTTGCACCATTTTACATTCCCACCAACAGTGAATAAGGGTTATGGGTTCTCCACAACCTCAGCAGCATTTGCTATTTGCAGTTCTGTTAAATTTTGCTATTCTTACTGAGGTGAGATGATATCTTATAGTTGTTTTGTGTTCCCACTTCTTGATGGCCCTAATTTTCAGAGTGCAGCTGCCCATGGCGTTTTCAGCAGACTTGGCCTCTTTGGCCACTGTAGGTGGATTTGAACCACCAGCCTTTGGGCTAGTAGTCAAACACTTAACCATATGCACCATCTAAGGACTGTAAAGGTAATTACGTGTTTTTTGTGTAACCCAGCCACTGCCCTCTTCATTCCAACTCTTGGCGACCCTCCATCTGGCTTCTCACGGGAGGAGACTGCCCCATCCTTTTCCCTTACAGGAACCAGTGGGTCTGAACTGTATACCTTTTGATTGGCAGCCCGACACTTAACCTGTGTGCTATCGGGGGGGGAAATATCCGTGTGGACCGTGGTGAGGGAGACCCGGAAGGCCACGCGTGATCCCGGCCTCCAGCGCTGTCCCAGTGCAGGGGGATAGTCTGGGATAGGCCTATAGAAAGAACCTCTGCTCCTTCGCCTGTGATATAGGATGCTGATATTAGTGTTAACGGCCATGGTAGGGGCTGGTCAGTGAAATCTGTGTCCAGAGCTCCCTCAGCGCCTCACTTCTGCCCAGATCCCGCCTTTCACACATGCCGTGTGTCACTGTCATATCTGCGGGTGGGGAGCCCTGGTGGTGCAGTGGATAAAAAAAAACGCAGAGGCTGGTGCTTGGAGCCCACCAATCAGTCCTCAGGATAGAGGGGTTAGGCCAAGCTGGAAACACTGTTGGGCATTCTCCTCTGCCCTGGAGGGGCCCTGTGCGCCAGCGTCGACCAGATTGGCCGTGTGTTTGGTGGCTGGTGTAGTGGTTCAGCACTCACGTTAGTGGACAAGCCGTCAGCTGTTCCTTGGGAGAAAGCCGGGGCAGCCTGCTTCTGTAAAGAGTCGCAGCCTTGGAAGCCGTATGAGACATGACCACACGCACAGGGTCACTGTGTCAGAAATCACTGGATGGCAGTAGGATTGTGCTGTTTCTTTTTTCTCTCTCCCCTCATTTTATTTGTGTGCGTACGTGCACTCGTTACACACATGCACATCCAAATATTTAACCCCTCCCTGGAGCTCGGGTGGCCTCGTGGTAAGGAGTTGGGCTGCCAACTCAAAGGCACACAGTTCGCATCCACTGACTCCTCCGCAGGAGAAAGCTCCGTCGTCTCCTCTGGTACGATTTACAGCCTCTGAAGACCCACTGGACGGTCGGCTGTGAGTCGCTGTCTGCTCACTGGCCTTGAGGGTGGTTTTGGAGGCTTTATCTTCCTGGAGGGTTACAAGCTGTGGAGAATCTAAGGGAACAAGTAGCCTGGGCCTCAGATGGGAGATGGGCCTGTGAGCGTGAAGGGAGGGGCAGACCCCCAGATGCTGCAGTTGGTTGTGACAGTAGACCTGTCCCCCAGGGCTTCCTCGGCGGTGATCCTCGTGGGGGCCAACCATCTGGTCAGCTCGAGTGACTCACCTGGAGGTCGGCTGCTCACACCACAAATCTTTTGATTTTGGTGTCTCACGATTTCACCATCACTCTGTCAAGGCTCCTTCAAACTTGGTCATTGCCGTGGAGTGGGAACCTTCCCATAGCTGACCCTCCAGCAGGATTTTAGAGGCTGTAAATTGCACGGGAGGAGTCCGCCCATCTTCCTCCCTCGGACCAGTAAAGGTGGCTTCACACCTCTTGAGTGGCCAGCACAGCTGTCTCTGGACTAGGGCTCCAGAGATCCCTTCGAGGGCCACCGTGTTAGCTGCTGTCCAGTTGAGTGTGACCCATAGTGACCCATCCTCCTCATCTCCGATGTACTTGAACCCATTACTGCACTTACTGTGTCCCTCTTGTTGAGGGTGCTCTCCTTTGCTGGCCCTCCTCATCGCGGGAATTCCAAAGCAAAGCCCACTGACAGGCAGGGTCTCTGCACTACCTCGCTCTGGGAATAAGGCACTTCCCAGAGCTTCCGGCAGGGGGCGCTCTGCGCGTGCACTCACACTCACACCCCTGTTACCACTTACCTGAAGGTCCCAGCAGGGAAAGGCCAGGGCCAGCCTGCCTGGTCTGCTCCATAGCCCCTGGAGGGCTTGGTCTCTGGACAGGAGCCCTGACCTGCCTGGTCTCTCCTGCCCAGCTCCCCTCCAAGACCTTGGTGCCCGAGATGGAGGATGAGGATGAGGAAGACGACTCGGAGGACGCCATCAACGAGTTTGATTTCCTGGGTTCCGGGGAGGATGGGGAGGGATCTCCAGATCCCCGGCGTTGTGCTGGCGACGGGAACCACCACGAGCTGGGTGAGTGGGAGGTTTCTGGTCACCTCTCCTACCTTCCTTGCCTGCAGGGGTGGGAGGGGCAGACCCTGGTCCAGTTCCTTCCACACAAGCCCCTGCAGCTGCTTCCTGCCCCTGGGCCTCTCCACCGGACGGATATACTTCCTGAAAATAGAGCCAAGGAGAGCCGGGCCCAGTCCAGGGTGGTCAGGCTTCTCGACCCTTCCCTGGAAAATCCCTGTGCCTCTGGGGCCCCAGCCCACCCCAGCCAGTGTCCAGTCCTGTGTGACAGGATTGGGAAGAGGCAGGGCGTGCTGCGCCTTCCTCAGACCTGTGACCTGTGACTGAGCCGGGAGGAGCCAGGGCAGAGGTGTGGCCAGGCCACCTGGGGTTCAGAACAGGTCTTGCAGAGCCTTCAGCTTAGGATCCTCTCCTGCCCACTGTCCCCGTACCCTGCACCCCAGTGCACCCTGAGGTCACTGTTCCGGGCAAGGCCTCAGGTGGTGAGGGCGAGGATGGGTGTCACACCGGGACCTGAGGACAGATGCCTGGATGACTCCTCCCACCCGTTTTCCTCCCTCCAGAAAGCCGCCGTGTGAAGCTCCAGGGGATTTTGGCTGACCTTCGAGACGTGGATGGGCTTCCCCTCAAAGTGACCGGCCCGCCCCCTGGAACTCCACAGCCCCGGCCCCACGAAGGTAAGCGGCCCCCCCTGGTCCTGAGGGCCCTACCCAGAGGGGGACTGCAGCGCTAAGCCCGGGGCTTCTGTGTCCTCAGTATGGAGCCTGCAGCCTCCCTGTCCCAAAAGTGCGTCTGTCTGTCTGTCTCCCTCTCTTCTTGTCTGTCCTGCCCCGTCCGTCTGTCCGTCCCTCTCCGTCTCTCTCTCCAGCTGTATTCTGGGTCTTAGCCTCTCCCCTCTCTCTCTTGCTCCTCACCTCTCCCTCGGCCTCTCTGGTGCTCTCTCTCTCCCCCCCGCCCCTCTCTGCTCCCACCCTCCCCTCCCCCCACCAGGTTCCTTTGGCTTCTCCTCAGACGTTTTCATCATGGACACTATCGGGGGCGGGGAGGTGAGCCTAGGGGACTTGGCAGATCTCACCGTCACCAACGACAACGACCTCAGCTGTGATGTAAGTTCACGGGGCACCCTCACCCCCTGGGCCCTACCTGTGTGTGCCAGGGGCCAGCACCCGCCTAGGCCAGGCTGGGCTAGGTACCCCCAACCCTTGAGTCTTCAGTGAGCTCCTTCCCTCTTCACTGCGGGTGCTATGCAGGCTGGGCAGGGCCTTGAGTAATGTCAGATGAGTAGGGACAGCCAAGTCTGACCTGTATTAACGTCACACGGGGCGATAGTCCCCATCAGCAACACCCACAGTACCACACTAATTCCTGTAAGGGTGGACATGGACTGTGCCCTCCGGCTCCTTCTAATTCCTATACCTAATTCTGCTAATTCCAGCATCATCTGTGCTGCTCTGCTCCTGGGTGTGGAATGCATTGCACTGGCCACACAGATCTCTCAGGGCCATACTCACAGTTACAGCATTTAGTAAGGAGTTAACTGGTTGCAATTCAGGTCAGCCACAGGATACAGTTCCTTTGTCTGGACAGCCCCTCAAGTCTATTGACAGGCCCTTTGACCTTCAGCCTCGAGGCTCAGTTCCGTGTTAAAAGTTCTCTAGGTCCTACCAATTCTGGCGTCCCCCCACAGTCCTCAGCGAGCGTGGTGGAGGCCCTGGCCCTGGCTCCCGGGGCAGCAGGCCCAGGTCAGCTCTGTTTCCTGTCGGTCTCTGGTAATCTTCACTGAGGCCACCGCTCCTCTTGCGTAGGTTCTGGTCTCATCTGCTGCCATAGCCACTCAGTTTAAACTTGGTGGGATAAGAAAGTGCACGCCCTGTTTCCGATTGCCACCCATTCCTGGGTGGATTGAACAGTAATCTCATGACACCCTAGCCAGTGTCAGGGGCTGAGGCCCTGGGGCTTGGGTGTGACAGTCTGTATTCCCGTGGCTCTTGTACGCTGTAAAAACCCAAAACCTGCTGTCAAGCTCATTCTGACTCATAGCAACCTTGCAGGACAGCACAGAGCTGCCCCTTAGGGCTGTAAATGGTTCTCCCATGGAGCAGCTCGTGGACTTGAACCACAGACCTTTCAGTTAGCAGCCGAGGGCCTGGACCGGCCCCTTGCATCGTCATGGCTCGTCATTGTGAAGCAGGCTGTCTAGGGGCTGATGGCCTGCGGTCACTAGGGTGGCAGCCTGCCGGGCAGGGAGTCGGGGTGAGACTGTGAGCAGTGGGCTGTGTTCTGTCTCCCATGACCTCACCCCTTTGCCAGTGTGAGGGGGATTGTCCCACATGATGCTCAGGAGGGCAGCGGGTGCCCACCCAACAGCAGGTCCTCAGCCCAAAAAGACTCTGGTCGAAGTGACGTTGAGGTGAGGAGCAGACAGATGCCGGCCTGAGAGGACTCAGTACACACCCAGCTCAGGAGGGCCTGGTGCTTACCTGGTGTCCTTACTCTCAGACAAGGCCCCCCCCCCAGTGTTCCCACACCACCATCACAGGCCAGTGCAAGGCTCCCCTTGGGGGCCCTACCTCCAAAGGGCCCCAGGCCCCTCCACTGCCAGGTGTGTGCACTGCGGGCCCCTCGTGACACACACCCTCGCCACGCCCTCCACTGCCAGGTGTGTGCTGTGTGGACTGTTCCCAACCCGCCCCCACGCCCCTACGCCCCTCCACCGCTGGATGTGTGGACTGTTCCCAACCCGCCCCCACGCCCCTACGCCCCTCCACCGCTGGATGTGTGGACTGTTCCCAAACCGCCCCCTATGCCCTTCCACTTCTGGGTGTGTGCTCTGTGGACTTCTCGCAGAACCTGGTTACACCACCCCACGCCTCTCCATTGCAGAGTATGTGCTCTGTGGGGCCCCCACTGCTCTCCACCACCCACTTGCGGCAGCTTTCCTAAGATATAACTCACATACCACAGAGGTCATCAACTTAAAGTAGACAACCCTAGATTTGTGTGGATTCTCAGAATTGTACACCTGACCCCAGATTGAGGAAGACTTTCCTTACCCCCAAAGTCGGCACCTCTCCTTTATTCCCAGCCCCTAGTCCTCAGCAGCCTAGCTGCTGTGAAAGCCACTGAGATGCTTTCAGTCTCTACCCTCCCCTGACTGCTGTCAGGTTGGTTCTGAGACTGGAAATCTCAACAGATACTGCCCGTCTTTCTCCCATGGAGGGTTCAAACTGGTGACCTTTGTGTTAGCAACTTAGCACTTAACCCACGATAGCACCAGGGCTCCCTTCCGTCCTTGTGGACTGGTCTCTTCTGGATGTTTCATATGGTAGTGGGAGCATCTGGGATCCGGTCCTTCACGTGTCTATCCACTTTCACGGAGCATGGCAGTTTCCAGGTTCACCCTGACGGTTTCCAGGTTCACCATGTTGTGGCTCTTGGTATTCCTTCATTTCCGTGGCTGACTTATGTCCCATTGTAGGTGTACCACATTTTTGGAGTGCACTCCGTCTGGTGGCAGATTTTTTAGTTGTTTCCCCTTTTCGGCTGTTGTGAGTAGTTCTGGGTGAACCCTGGTGGACAGCTGTTTTCAGGCCACGGCCGTTTCCTCCCTCTCCCGTTCACACCCGGGAGCGGCATTGCTGGGCGAGGTGGTCAGGCTGTGTCTCTTCGTTTGGAGATGCACCTGCACAATTTGACGTTCGCCCCACCAGCGACAGCGTATTGATTGGGGTTCTGATTTCTTCACATCCTCACCAGCAAGTGTTATCTCCCTCTGATTACAGCTATCTTAGTGGGTGGCACACAGTATCTCATGGTGGTTTTGATTTGCATCACTCGCTCTACCCGACAAAGTGGCGTAGTGGTTGCAGCCGTGGATTCTAAGGCGGCAGTGATTGCAGGCATGGCTGGTGTTTGGTTCTGTGTACGTGAGGTCACTATAGGTAGAAGCTGATTCGACGACACCTAACAACAGTGGCTTAATGAAGGACCTCTGTGTGGTAGGTGCCCAGCTGCTATCCCAAAGGCTCATGGTTCAAAACCCTGTTCCTCCTCCCCTTCCTCCTGGCATGGCACGGGAGGAAGACATGGCGGTGAGCTTCCTTACAGAGAACGGCCTTGGGAGCCCTGGGGGTCGTCTCTGTTCTGTAGAGTTGCTGTGAGTCGGTAGCCACTCACAGTGGGCACAATAATTAATGTCAGGCATCTTTGTGTGCTTATTGGCGAGTTTTTAACATCTTTTTTCCGTCCTCATTTTAACAGAGCCATTGCCTTCCTTGGGATTGGTTTTAATAGTCTTTCCATATCCTAGAGACATCTGCAGTCTAGATGTACACCCGCACGGGGCCCTGGCAGCCAGCATGAGCCAGCTCGCCTCCTGGCGCCACAGCCTCAGGTGGCTTCTCATCTGTCTGCAGTGTCTTCTTAAGATCAAGTGTGGCTTTCTGAACGTGGCCTACACTTGACCCCCTTCCTGTCTTCCTGACCTCCTGCATGCCACTCACGGTCTGCATCCCAGCTCCACGGGCCTCACGGTCACTGGGTCTGCCTTGGCTGCCTCAGGGCCTTGGCACATGCAGTTTGCATCCTCAGCCCGATTCGGTCTGCTCCTTTGTCAAATCTTGATTCACATGCCGTCGCAGCCTGCTCGTGCATTGGTTAAACACTCGGCAGCTAACCGAAAGGCCAGGGGTTCTGACCCACGGCTGTTGAATGGGAGAAAGATGTGGCAGTTTGCTTCCTGAAAGATGACACCAGTGGAAGCCCGGGGACCCCTGCTGTGAGTCACAGTGACACAGCGACCCTGGAGGACAGCAGGGCTGCCCCAGAGACTTCCTGAGGCTGCGGGCCGAGCGGAAGCAGACCCGCCACCTCTCTCTCCTGCCGAACAGCTGGTGGGTGCCTGCTGCTGACCTTAACCAAGGTTCGCTGCCTGGCTATCTAATCACCACCCCAGGGGAAGCCAGAGACCCTGTGGGGGCCACCTACTCTGTCCTCTGTGGTTGCTAGGAATCAGGACTGACACCCTGCAACCATAGCTCACCTGTCGCCCCACAGGAGGCCCCTGTTGATGCCTGCTGGCCAGGTCGGGCACCTTCAGTGCACACTGCTCTCGTGTCTAAGCCTGCGTGACCTGGGATGAGCTGATTGGTCCACGCTCCCCTCTGTCCCCAGCCTAGAACGAGGTGTCGGGCACATCACAGAAACTGTGCAGACAGCATACATGGGGAGGGAGGGTTAGTCTGAAAGAGAACTTGCCTTAGCAGGGAGGGGGTCCCCAACATCCTGGGCATGGTGTCTTTGTGACTGAGACATCGCCACCTCCACCCTCAGCTGTCTGACAGCAAGGACGCCTTCAAGAAGACATGGAACCCCAAGTTCACCCTGCGCTCACACTACGACGGCATCCGCTCCCTGGCCTTCCACCACAGTCAATCAGCCCTGCTCACCGCCTCTGAGGACGGCACGCTCAAGCTCTGGAACCTGCAGAAGGCCGTCACCGCCAAGAAGTGGGGTCCACCTCGGGGCTGTGGGGGGCGGCCTCCAGGGGGCAGCCCAGGGAGCATTGTGACATCCCACTCCTCCTCTCCCCACAGGAATGCCGCGCTTGATGTGGAACCCATCCACGCCTTCCGGGCCCACAGGTACGGGGGCCTCAACCCGTAGAACCCCACTGACTCCCGTCCAGAACCAGAGGGACCCTCACTGTGTGTCAGTGCAGCCTCTACACACGTGTGTACACACACACACACACACACACACACACACACACACACACATCCTGTAGTCAGCTGTCCCCTCTCCTGAGTATCAGGGATCAGTACCACCCCCAAATGCACCTGCATCCCGCACCCGGCTCTCCCCTCCCTAGAATCCATGCAGCCCCTGTATGTGTGGACACCCTACAACCAGCTCTCTCCTCCCTTGTGGCAGGCATCAGAGCAGCTCCTGCACCCCCCCCATACACCTCAGTTCCTTGTGCTCCACAGAGACTCTGTGGCCATGGCATCTAGCTGTCCCCACAACCCTTCAGGCAGGGGACGTGAGGGTGAGGTGGAGCGCACAGCTCCCCTGGGCGGTGCGGGACTGACCTGGAGCTTTCTGCCACCCCATTTCTTCACGTGTCCCCCAGGGGCCCCGTTCTGGCCGTGACCATGGGCAGCAACAGCGAGTACTGTTACAGTGGTGGGGCGGACGCCCGCATCCACAGCTGGAAGATTCCCGACCTCAACATGGACCCCTACGACGGCTACGGTGAGGACCGGCCCCTCCACAGGAGCCTCCACACAGACCGTGCCCACCCGCCCCAGTCACTCGGGATGAGGAGGGGTGCTGGGGAGGTGATGGGAATCGGACGTCAGGAAGGCACATGTCAGGGCTCAGGAGGTTGTTGTGTTCAAAGAGTGGGGCAGTTGCCTTTTGTGGAGTTGTTAGGGGAAAGAGGCAAAGGTGATGATGGGAGGTGTCGGCTGTGCAGGTGACAGGAGTTTGGTGTCATCCCGGGGCTGCTTTGACAGGTGGTTGAGTAGTTGGGTGTGATGGGACGGGTCCTGTCGTGTCCCCAGCCCCCTGGGTGGAGCGTGGTGCCCAGTGCTCCATCCTGACGAGATCAGGCACTGTCACTCCAATACTCTCCCTCATGAAAGGTCGGGGCTCAGGGCTCGAGCGGAGCCGCTCATGGGGTAGGAAGCCGTGGATGAGCGCTTGGAGACCCCATAGCTTGTGCATTTAGGGCTTGGACTCTGGTGGCCCAGAGGTTAGTTGTGCCCAGCGGGGACCACAGGGCCAGTCCTAGCTGTCCTCTTCCCTGGTCCTAACCATGCTGCACTGAGAATAGCAGACAACAGGGAACCCACAGCCACCGAGTCCATGTCTGCCCACAGTGACCCCGTAGAACTGACACGGGGGTCGCCAAGGCTGGATACTTTACCGGCACAGACTGCCTCGTCACTGGCCTGCTGAGCGGCTGGTAGACCTTTTGCTATTAGCCAAGCTGAGTGTAGTTACTGTCCCACCAGGGCACCTCAGGGCCCTGAAATCATCCTGGAAGAGCCAGTGGTCAGAATGGTGACTGGCTAGGAGGGCAGAGCATGAGCCTGGGGGTGTAGCTGAGGGAGTGGACGACAGCTGCCAGACTCCACGCTGTCTGAGGAGGGGGCTGGCAGCCCTGACGCCGATGTCCTACCTTGGGGTGGGTCTAGACCCGAGTGTGCTGAGCCACGTCCTGGAGGGCCACGGGGACGCTGTGTGGGGCTTGGCCTTCAGCCCCGCCTCCCAGCGCCTGGCCTCCTGCTCCGCCGACGGCACCGTCCGCATCTGGGACCCCAGCAGCAGCAGCCCCACCTGCCTCTGTACCTTCCCCACAACCAGTGGTGAGTTAAGGGGCTGTGGAGACTCTGACCAACCGAGAGCAAGGCTCCTGTGGGAAGAGGCATCCCAGTGGGGGACCTCTCAAGCAGCCTTTTCTCCTCTGCCCCAGAGCATGGGATCCCCACCTCAGTGGCCTTCACCAGCACCGAGCCCGCCCACGTGGTGGCCTCTTTCCGCTCTGGCGACACTGTCCTGTATGACCTGGAGGCTAGCAGCGCCCTCCTCACGCTGGAGTCCCGGGGAAGCAGCGGTAAGGTGTACAGGCCCACTTTCTCCTGGGGTGACCAGTGGTCCGGAGGGGCTCTGAGCTGGACCTGCCGCCGGCCCAGAGTAGGAGAGAACTGAGGGCCAGTGGAGGCCCAGCCCCGGCTTCAGACTGAAGAGAGCTGGTGCCCACAGACCTCGGGGCCACCACGCACCTCCCATGATGTTAGATGCTGTCGAGCCTGCTTTGACGTCACAACCCTGTGTACAGCAGAACAGACCCCTGTACATCACTGCTGTGCAGTCACTGGGTCAGCTCCACCCTGGGGAGGGCCTCCCTCTTTCCCTGACCCTCTGCTTTTCCAAGCATGGTGCCCTCCTCCAGGGACTGGCCCCTCCCGACAGCATGCCCAAAGTCCAGCCTTGCCTGTAAGGAACAGCCTGGCTGCACTTTTTCCAAGACAAATGTGTTTATTCTTTTTGTTTGTTTGTTTTTGGCAGTACATGGTAAATTCATTATTCTTCACCAGTGTCACTCAAAAGGCATCAGTTTGCCTTTTTTCTGACATATTTACTGCCCAACATATGTATATGTATAAATTTAAAATACCATGACTTGGGTCAAGGTCACCTTAGTCCTTAACGTGGCATCCTTGCTCTTCAGCACTTCAAAGAGGTCTTAAGCAAGACATTTGCTCTTCTATATATGGTACCCCACATACATACCCCAAAATAAGGGATGTGCCCAGTGTACAAATTAAATGCCAAGGCGTAGAAGAGGAATTGGCCTTTGTGCCCAGCCTGCCTTGTCATTTAGGCAGAGGAGCAAGGATGTGGGGACCTTTGTCCTCGTGTCTGATTGTCTGTCTGGTTGTCTCCTTGACACCCATCCCTCTCTTCCCTTCGCCTTTCAGGCCCAACCCAGATCAACCAAGTGGTGAGTCACCCCAACCAGCCCCTAACTATCACTGCCCATGACGACAGAGGCATCCGCTTCCTGGACAATCGGACAGGTGAGACCCGGGTGTCCGCTTGCCATTGTGTGCGTGAACCAGACTCCAGTTTGGGGAGCCTGGTCTCTGGTGGGGACTCCTGTGGTGTCCCCTGGTGCCCTTCGCCTTCCAGGGCAGGCCTGAACTCACCTCTTGGCCCTGCCTTCCTGCAGGGAAACTCGTGCACTCCATGGTTGCCCACCTGGACGCCGTCACCTGCCTAGCCGTGGACCCCAATGGTGTATTCCTGATGTCGGGAAGTGAGTTGGGAGGCCCTGGCCCCTCAGGAATAAGGGCAGTCCCTAAGTGCCTGGGGCAGGGAGTTGTAGACAGTGGGGTTGAAGAGGGGTGCCGCTTCCCTCAGTCATCAAAGTCCTGTGGGTGGTGTGAGCAGGGGCCACTGTGGACACCTCGCCCACATCCGGTCCTGCAGTCTAAATCAGCCCTAGGAGATTGGTGTCATCATCCCCGTTTCACAGATGTGGAAGCTGGAGAAGCCACTCAACATGGTCCTAGCTTAGGGGGCTACAGGGCTAGAAGGCCAGATCTGTCTGTCCTATAGTGACTTGTGGCATCTGGCCCACCCTGCTGTTGGTGGACAGAGCCCTGGGACCTGAGGCTGGGCCTTGAGAGGTGAAGGTGGTGGTGAGCCTGGCACGTGCCCAAGGAGGGTGCACTTGGGTGCCTGGGAGGCCTGTCCCCAGTCAGTGGGCACCCAGGGCACGTGTAGACAGCAGCCTGCTCTCGGGCGCAGCTGCCTCTCTGCCACCATCTCCAGGGCTCTGCTCTGACCTGAGCGGCCGGCTGGGGGCTGTGTTTGTGAAATGGGGCCTACCCTCCTGGGCACCCCTCAGCAGCAATGCCATCCAGCAGTGTCCCTTCAGTGCCTGACCCACTGGTTCCCTGCCCTTGGGAAGATTACTCAGCCTCAGGCCACGCTCTGCCGGGCCTCACCTCACTGGCCACTGCTGCCCGTGATCGGGGATTCTCTGCTCACAGAGCCCCTTACCTTACACTGTTCAGGCGTTTCCTTGTTGACTGAGGGGCATCCCTACTGCTGGAACAGAGGAGGGACAGGCAGGAGGGCATTGTTGGCACGTGACAGCCTCCTCTCCCCCCAGGTCACGACTGCTCCCTGCGCCTGTGGAGCCTGGACAACAAGACGTGTGTGCAGGAGATCACAGCCCACCGCAAGAAGCACGAGGAGGCCATCCACGCTGTGGCCTGCCACCCCAGCAAGGCCCTCATTGCCAGCGCCGGCGCCGACGCCCTGGCCAAGGTCTTCGTATGATGCCTGCCGGGCCCCCCCTGGCCGCTTGCCTGGCTAGGGAGTGGGGCCGGGCCGGCAGGGCTGAGGTGAGGGGCTCTGGGGGAGCTGTGGGTCCAGGGTCAAGCAGCACAACACCCACTTCCCCACTATACCCTCCATTACCCCACCTAGCAGCCCCCATTTCCCGGTGGCCTGGTGCTGTAGGGCGCCCCTGGAGGCTCTCCAGAGGCCTCAGCCCTGCTAGCTCTGATCGCCCCGCTCCTCCCACAGGTGCCACCCAACCTCCCTCGGGGGCTCCGGGCCTGGCCTGCTTGCCTGCCTCAGAGCTTGGTGGTGCTAAGGGCCGTCCCCCGGGAGCCCCGACGGCCTGACCACCCACCCTGCAGGGGACTCTCAGGCCAGACTCCACTCCGCTGTCTGAGCCGCTGTCCCGAGGGCAGCATGGCCAGGGGCCAGGGTCTGCAGGGACCCATTTCTCCAAGACGCCAGAAGGTGCCAGGTTCCCCCTGGAGCCCCCACCCTCCCCTCCCTCCTCCCACACCAGGGTGGGCATTGTGCTGTGAGGTGGCCTGACTACCACTCCCACCCCAGACCAGCCGCCCATGGGAGCCAAGACCACAGGCCCCTCCAGCCACTCTACACTGCTTTCCAGACACTAACCAGCGCCACTAGGGCCAGTAACTGCCTGGGGGTGCCCTGGGGGCGGGCGCCACCCTACCTCCCCACCACTCCTCCAAGGCCAGCCCCCGCCTCTCCCCAGAGCCGCGGGGCGTGGAGGACGGAGCCGCTGCTCCCTGTGTGTATCTGTATAAAGGATGGGATGTTAATGGAGCCCCATGGTTGTTATCACTGTGTGATAGTCTCCGTCAGTCTCCTCTCCCCACTCTCCTCCTCTATTTATTTCACGCTCTTCATTTGGGTCCCATAGTCCCCGTTGGTCCCCCTCTCCCAGATTCCTGTTTATAGGCCCCGCCCTCCTCCTCCCCACTCCCCCAACTTGTACGTGAAATCTTGTCTCAATAAATCCTTTGGAGTAAAGCTGATTGGTGGGATTTTGTGGGGTAGAAGAGGCTAGCTTACCCTAGGTTAGGTGGGGTAGAGAGAAGGGATATAGGGAATTGGGGTTTTATCAGAGGACAGAGAGAGCCCAGAGTTTGGGTGGGGTGGGGGCATTGGGGCGGAAATGGGGGCAGAGGACCGAATCTCCTGTCCCCTCCTTGCTGCCCTGCACATTCCCTCCCCAAGGGCAGCAGCCTGGGGGCAGGGCCCTGACGGGCAGTCAATGTGACTGACTGACTGACGATTCTTCTTATGACTCCCATCTGGGGACATGTTGTAGGAACCTGGCTTTGGGGATGCACCTTGGGAGGCTGCCTGGAAGAGGCGGCACAGGTCTGTTGAGCTGGAAGGACAAGCAGAGTGGTCACGGCACTGAGGCTGATACTGTCCCATCCAGGTGGCAGACCCTGGGGCCTTCATGTCATTTCTAAGAGGGAGGACCAGTATCTACATCCAGACCCCTCCTCTCACACCCTCCGCTCCACTACAGAGTTGAGGCAGTGGTGGTGGGGTGGCATCTTTTGGAAAGCTGTGAGGCGGAATGCCCACCTCCTCGGTTGTAAGGGCTGTGAGCTGAGACTAACACTCCGGATGTGTTAGTTTACTGTGGCAGCATCTTGAGACAAAGGGCTCAGGGCTGATGGCCAGTAGCCACCCCGCCGGACGCCTGGCCTGGGCTCCCACGTGGCCTGCGCCCCCACAGCGCTGGCTCTGCAGCCTCCCCAGGTGCTGGTTTGGGTTTTCACTCCAGCCTCAGACTTCCTTCCCTGGCCCCAGCGCCCGGATGTGGTGACAGAATCGCTACTGTACCCACCTCAACTCCCCCAGACAGCAGGAGGCCAGGAAGGCAGGCTCCCCTGAGAGCCCCCAGTCCCAGGCCAGCCTGCTCAGCCCTCCCATCAGCGTGCCCCTCGGTCTGAAAGTCGGACCCTCCCCTCACTATGAAGCAGCTGACTTGGTGACCCTGGACGAGTCACTTTGACTCGTCTCTAAGCTTCGGCTTCCTGTGTATAAACAGTAGCCACTTTACGATTAGCTATGGAGGAGAAATCAAGTTTGGATCATCCCTGATCCAAACGAGGAAGTATCTTATGACAAATCCTAAAAACCCAGGGGAGCCTCAAGGGTGACGACAATTAGTAAAAAACCAAATCCACTGGAACCTGCCTCAATTTTGCCCCATGGAGCAGCTGCTGGATTTGAGCTGAGAACCTTCTGGTTAGCAGGCCCAACACAACAGACTACAGCAACACCTAGCCAGGCACAAACACCTTGGTGCTTGAGGTACCCATGCCATGTCACCCTGTGCCAGTGTCTTGGACGTGCACGCTCAGCGCGTGTGTATTTGTATATATGTATATGCTAGTCCAAGTCAAATCCTATTGTAGCAACCTTTCACAAGTTTATGAGCCTGTAAATCTTAATGGAAACCCATCTTTCGCCCTGAAGCAGTTGGTGGACTTGAACTCTGCTGACCTTTCAGTTAACAGCACAACACAGTCATTTGGCACCTGTAAATTAATCCCCACATAATCCTTCGAGGAATTTACAGTCCCATCCAACAGATGAAGAAACTGAGGTCCACCAAGCTTGAGGCCACCAACCCACCTGTGCTTGGAGAAGGACACACAGCCCCGCACCCCTATTCCAGGTAGCCTGCCTTGAGCCTCACTTGTCTGAATTTCTGTGGGTATGTGGCCTTCTTGGCAGCTGGATGTCAGAAACCCCCAAACCTTGGGTCCATCACCATCCTAAGGGTATCCAGGGTTGAGGAAATGAAATCATGCTTCTCACCCCAGGTCTGACTTCTTGGGACAGTAGCCCAGGTAACCCTGATAGGTGCAGGTCCTTGCCAAAGTCACCCAGCTCCTGTGGGAAGCCTCGGTCTTTCCACCTGTAGAATGGGCTCCAAGTGTCCCCTAACCACCCTCCTGCTTTGAGCTAGACGCTGTGGGGAGCAAGCCGACCGATCCCACAGAGAGGACTGACACCCCATTTCCTACCCCTCTACTGCGGTGGGCGCCGGATGCAGGCCTGGCAGGACAGGGCCCCCCCCCATTCTTAAAGAGCCAGGAGCCTTTACAGCCTGGGTCCCCGCTACTTGTAGTAGAGCTAAGGGTGGCTCCTCCCTCCCCAGCTCAGGGAAAAGTAAATTTCCAGACTTAGTGGTATTCTAAGAAACCCACTACCCTCATCTCTCACCTCGACCGCATTCCGAACCCCCAAGTCCTGAGCGAGGGGGTTCCGCCCCCCGCTTCCAGGCACCGGCCCTCCCTCCCCTTCCGCCCCCCGGCCCCACGCTGGGCCCCGCCCCCGACGTCACCCAGTGCCGCGCCTATTGGCCAGCTGCGCCGTCGCTCCAGACACTTCCTCTTGGGCCGCCGCCGGTGAGTTAAACTTTGGAAGCAAAACGAGCCGAGGGGGCCGGGCGACCCCCCCCGAGGCCCACCCCAGCCATCAGTGCCGCCCCTTTCTCCGCGCCCCGCGAAAGAACTTGCCTCCAACTTCCCGGACCCGTGAGCTTCGCTCCTCAGCACCCCGGCTCTCCGGCCCCTCTGCCCATCCCCGGGACCCCGGATCCCGGGATTCGCTCGATCCTCGGTTCAGAGAATCTTGTCCCCCTCCGTCCCAAGGTCTGTGAACCCCTCGAGCCCTGCTTTTGATAGTATCCTCTTCTAGCGCTCTAGATCCTGGGTTCCCGCCCTGTTTCCTTCCAAATCCTTTCTCCTCCCTTGGGCCCTGGGCATCCCACGATCCCTGGCCCCAGTCTCCCAACTCACTTAATTTTCTTCTTTGATTTCTTGCACTCTTCTCAATGGCTCGATCTCCAAACCACTAGTTCTTTCCTCTAGAGTCTGGTGTGATCACTCACAAGGATTCTTCTATTTTCCCAGGATCCCGCCATCCTCTGATCCCCACGACCTGCCAGACTTCCGATCCCCCCCCCCATCCCCTGGACCCCGCGATCCTACCACCAGCCCACAAGATCCTGCGGGACCGGTAGCCCAGCTTTCCCAGATTCGTCCAGCTGGACCCCGGGTGGGCGCCAGGCGGCCGGTCCCGTCCCGGGTCTCCTCATGGCCGCCGCCCCTACCCATCCTGCAGGGCTCCCAGGCTCTCCCCGCCCGGGGTCCCCGCCACCCACCGGCTCCAGTTTGGAGCTCCAGTCGCCGCCGCCGCTGCTGCCCCAGGTCCCGGCCCCGGGCCCTGGGGTGTCCTTCCACATCCAAATCGGGTTGACCCGCGAGTTCGTGCTGTTGCCCGCCGCCTCCGAGCTGGCCCATGTGAAGCAGCTGGCGTGCTCCATCGTGGACCAGAAGGTAGGGCGCCTGAGGTTCCCCCCCATTCTGTTTGCAGGGAGGGCCTCTCGGAGGAGGTGGACGCGGGCAGAAGCAACTGGAGGCTAAGCGTGGAGGAAGGGGGTAAAGAGGGCCTGAGTCTTGGACGACTGAGGGGTGAGGGCCATTGGCCCCCAGTTCTTCCCAACCCCACCACCCGCTTGAGGGAAAACTGGGCAGGGGTGGGGTTCCCCAGAGGCCTCCCCGAATTGCGTGTCACTGCTTGTTGTTTTCTGCAGTGGGCAGGAGGAAGGGAGGAGCCCGACCAGGTGTAGGGAGGAAAGGAAGAGGCAGGTGGGGGGGGGGGCAGCAGATATGGGGGGAACCTCCCTACTCGAGCCCATCGAGGCCTCCCATTTGGTGGAAAGAGTCGAAATTGAAGCCGAGGCTGGCCATGGTGATCCGGCCTTGGCCGTGATCGGGTAACATGTGGGTGTGGGTGTCCCTGCTCACTGCCAGGGCAAGTGAGGTTTCAGAGCCCAATCTGTGCCTCATCCCCAAGTAACTCTGCACCCCCAGAAACTCAGGAGACCTGAGCTCTCTAAGAATTGCAATGTCGCCATTCCCGGTTCGCCTGCTAGAGTGTGTTAAATGAGCAAATGACACCTTAACTTTGGACACTACCTTCCCCAAGGACAGAGGGATGCGGTGGAGGGAAGCTGGGGTGAAGGGCATGAGAAAATCAAGGGGAACTCCTTACTGAAATCCTAGAATAGTCCAAGTTAGAAGAGTGAGTTTTCTATGGTGTCAGAACAAGAACACTACCTGGTAGAAGTGATGGGTATTGTGGGTAAGAGTCCACTCAGATAGAGTTATTGTTGTTATGTGCTGGCCGCACCCTGACTCATAGCTGACTCTCCAGCGCGTTTTCAGAGGCTTTAAATCAGTCGCTCTCTGGCAAAGCAGCTGGTGGATTTAAACCTAGTACCTTTGACTTGCCAGGGCAGGGCTTTACCAAGAGGCTGCCAGAGCTCCCTAGTTAGAGTGTTGTTGTTGTTGTTGTTGTTGTGTTCCATCAAGGTAGAACCAACCCCTAGCTTATCGTCCAGCGTGTTTTCAGAGAGAGTTTAATAGCACAGAAGGAGATTGCTCTTTTTTTCTCCCACGGAGTGGCTGGTGGATTTGAACCTTGTGCCTTCAGGGTTGCAGCAGTTTCTTACCACCAGGCCACCAGAGCTCCCTAATTAAGAGTGTTAGCACGTCTTATTTTGTATTGTTCTTAGGTACTGTGTTTGACAGTGTAACTCCTTAGCACTAGGCCACCAGAGTTCCCTATCTTAAATTATGGGTGCTTCAGAGCCTACGGAATTAGTGCTTTTCTGGTGTTACAAATATTCAGTTGTTGGCATTCCACATTGTTGGAATCCTAAAAGACGAAGATGCTGGAATAGGAGATTCTGAGATGGTTGGAATCCCAGGGTGTTCAAATAAATGCTAGCATATTCCAGTGCTGAGCCGATGAACTCCTTTCATGCTGAAATAGTAAAATATTAGACACCTAGTTTGTTCAGGCCATGAAAATGTTAAACATTACACTATTGATAATCAATTAACTGCTGAAATCCTAAAATGTTAGTATACTAGAGTGTTTTAAAATAAACCAGACCTAGATTGTTAGAATCCCTCCCCTCAAATATCTAAATTCCAGAATCTTCCCAGATTTCCAAAGATGAGCAGTCCCCTCTAAAGATTTATCATTTCAGAAACGTGACAGAAGGGCCATTGTGAGTCAGACCGACCAAAGGACAGTTAGTTGGTTTGAGGGGGTCTCATGGAAATGCCCTGAACCCAGCCAGCTCCCCCATTTTTCAAATGAGGAAACTGAGGCTTAGAGAAATAAAAACCTTTCTTAGATGTGATCTGCTGGGTAACAACAGCTAGGGCAGCTTCGACTATGAAGGGGTGGAGGGAGCTGAGATTGCCGTTTGGGTGAAATGCGTTGCCCCAGGTTCGAGTCCCCAGTCAGGCACTCTACCGCTGGCCCCAGTTTGCATTTTCTCTCCTCCCCTCGTGGTCCCAGGTGCGAGGGCCTCTTCCTTCCTTCCTTCCAGCTGCCTCACCTGGCCAGTTTCACTTTCTGTTCTATAAGGTGTCGTTTCCTGTCCCCTGTCCAAGCTGGGCACCTGGGTTCTTTAGAAATTGTAGGGGCGCGCCTCTCACCTCCAGCAACTCTGGACCCCCTAGCTCCCCTCCTTTCAGCTCGCCCCACGCCCCAGTGCTGGGCCCTGAGCCAGGTAACCAGGAAAACAATAGATTCCGGAAGGAAGCCGGGGTGGGGGAGTGTGGATAGGAGGAGGGGTGCTCTCTCAGTCTCCTCCTCCTAATTTCAAAGAGGGGAGAAAAATCCAAGTGTCCACATTCCCAGGGGTACCCTCTTTCCAACCCCACCAAACCAGTCCGGGCCCCCAGACTCCTGCCAGATGGCTCTCCCAGCACACCTGGGACGCTGGCACCCTGCCTGGCTAGAACTAGGGTTGGGAGGGGGCCTGCAGGAAGTGAGGGCTGCAGCGGGGTCCTGAAGTTTCCGGGGGAAACAGGAGGGTTCCAGTCCACTGGCGAAGGCGAGTCTAAACGTTTCCGTCGCCACCTCCCTCTTCCGTCCCTCAGTTCCCCGAGTGTGGCTTCTACGGCCTCTATGACAAGATCCTGCTCTTCAAACATGACTCCACGTCTGCCAACCTCTTGCAGCTTGTGCGCTCAGCCAGTGACATCCAGGAGGGCGACCTGGTGGAGGTGGTACTGTCGGGTGAGCAGCAGGGGGGCTGTCAAGGGGCGGGGCATCAGGGGGAGGTGGGCGGGCACTGAGTTGGACTCAGAAACTTGCTTATAAAAAAAAAACAAACACAGACCACTGTAGATCTGCTTCTCAGTCATTGAGCGAGCTATTATACACCCTGCCCCCGAGTGGGTACATAAATCCAAGTGTGTCGACACTGAAAATACCGTAGCAGTCGACATGAATAACCCACAATATGGATGTGCCTCGAAAACAGCTAGCCAGCAGATTACATATATGATTCTATTTATAAAACACAAAAGACCCACAAAATTACCCTTTAGTGTTTGAAGGCAGGCGTAGATATATTGGGGCGGGGCAAGGAGGGGATTTCCAAGGACTGGTTTCAACTTGTGAGCAGCCCTGGTGGTGCAGTGCTAAAGCGCATGGCTGCTAGTGAAAGGGTCAGTGGTTCGAACTCACCAGCTGCTCCGTGGGAGAAGGATAAAGCCGTCTTTGTTGGTCAAGATTTACAGCCTTGAGAAACCTGTGGGGCAGCTGCGCTTGGACTTACGGGGTCATGGGAATTGACTGGTTGGCGATGACTGATGTTTTTAGTTTGGTTTCAGCTTCCATTTCTTTAAAGTCTCAGAGTGATTCTCACATGCATCCAAAATTTGGTCCCTAACACGCACACCCCCAAACCCATTTTATAGAGAGGCACATTTATTTTCTGGGCACCTTAGAGCTGAAAGATCATTAGGTGCAAAGGCCCAAGGGTTGGACAGTGCTAAAAGTCTATAGGCCGTGGTCCATTCACAAAAGCAGGGGCTGAAGGCTATGGTGTTTGGTGACAGAAGTTTGGGTTCACACCACCACCACCCCCTGACCTCACTCAGATTTCAAGTTGGCAACTCTTGAATCTGTATCTTCCTCCTGCTTTCTAACCAACTCTAACAGGATCACTGATCACCTAGGAGGCATCTTCGATATGGCTCCTTTGGGAGAGAACACTTCTGGATCTTTCCGTCTGATCAGCCTGCTCTTCCTGTAACCATGGCTGTAGAGTTGATTCCTCTTGGAGTGACCCTGTAGAGCAGAGTAGAATGTTCCATCATGTTCCCAAGCCTGTCATCTACAGAAGCAGTCTCCCGCATCTTTCTCTGTTGGACTGGCTGGCGGCTTTGAACAGCCAACCTTTTGGTTCATAGTTACATGCTTAATCTGATCACTTATTGCGATCAGAACGATTGGTCATAGTAGTCGGGCACCATCTAGTTCCAGTCTGAGAGCAACAGAGGCTCTAACTCACATAATTGTTTAGTCCTTTATAGAGCTATGGTGACCTAGTAGATAGGGAGTTGTACTGCCATCCCAAAGGTGGGCCGTTCAAATCCACCAGCTGATTTGTGGGAGAAAGATGGGCAGTTACCTCCATGGGATTTATACCCTCTGAAAACCTGATGGCGGATCACCTGGGAGTCAGTTCCAGCTTGACCAATGAATTGAGAGTTCTTTGTCCTTTGAACTTAATATTGTTGAGTCTTTCATCACTATTTTAATTGCTCTCCATAAATTAATTCTTTGACACCCCCTCCAAAAAAAGATGGGAGGATATACTGTGATGATTTTGAGATTTCCGTTTTCCTAGATACTAGCAACAGCTCATGTAACCCTTTGCTGCTCTGTTCATTGTCACCTTTGCCTGGAAGCCTCTTCTAACTACCTAGTTCCCTATCTCCTCTCTCTGCTTAAGGGAGCTCTAGTCTGTAGTAAGTTTTGCTGTTAACTCCAAGGTCTAGCCTCCCTGGCAGTTTGAATCTACTATGGGACAAAGATGGGCAGTCATTCTCCTTTCAGCCTATTTAGAGCCTCAGAAACCCATATGTTGGAACAAATTGGATGAATTTTTGTTTTTCATAACTTAAGTCTGCTCCTCAGCACTTAGTATAGCGAACTGCGTGGCAAGGTTGGCCTGACTTGCAGTTGGAGTTTGACCATTTTTACTGTCTGTGACCTTGGGCAGGTTACTTTACCCTCTCTGTGCCAAACGCCTGTCAGAATAAAGTCTTGTCTGCCTCTCTTGTTTGATTGTAAGCCCCCAGAAAGCACAGCTTTTCTCTGTCGTCTTGTCGCCTAGAACAGTGCCTGGCACATAGTAAGATGCGGTATGTATAGTTGGATATCCTTTGGAAGGAATGTGAGAATCTTGGCTGTTAGGATCGTGGCTGGTAACCGTGGCACTCAGGCCACGACTGCTTGAGCCTGACCCCATAGGATCAGGCTCACCATCCACTCTTCCCTGCTGCCCGCAGCCTCGGCCACCTTCGAGGACTTCCAGATCCGTCCGCATGCCCTCACGGTCCACTCATACCGAGCGCCTGCCTTCTGCGACCACTGTGGTGAGATGCTCTTTGGCTTGGTTCGCCAGGGACTCAAGTGTGATGGTAAGGCATAGTGGGGACCCCTGGGGGTGCGGCCAAATGCCCTTGGGGATGGGACTGAGCGGAGCTCAGATCTGGAGCGCAAGGAGTGGGGGGGTGGGTTTTGAGAGCAGAGCTTGAAAACAGGAGGGGCGGAGCTGGAGGGACGGCTGAGGGGTGGGGCTTAGTGTTGGGGGCGTGGCATAGGAGGGGCGTGGTAAGGAAGGGGCGTGGCCGAGCAGCTTGGATGGGGCTTAGGGGGTGGAGCTCAGTGAGTGGAGGTGGAAAGCGATCCAAGGGTTGGGGTCTGGGGATGGGTGGAGCTTGGAGCTCTGCTCTGGAGGGGCCTTAACTAGTTAGGGAGTTTTTATGAGTTTATTCAGCCAGTGGCATAGATTTAGTAGATCTCCAACCTGGCCTCCTAGGATCACCTGGATAGGTGCCAGCTATTCTACACGTAATAAAAGCACTAACTCTAGGAGAGACATAATACAAGATTTATTGCAAGGAATTAACATGCATGATTGTGGGCAGGACTAAAATCTGACATCGCCCCAGGAAGGGCAGGCAGCTGGTTAAGGCCACTGTCCACGGCCTGAATTTCCGCAAAGCCTCAGGTCTGTTCTTAAATCCCTTCAAAGAATTGAATCAGTCTCACTTTGATTAACTAGGAGACCTTGTCGTGTGTGTGTGTGTGTGTGTGTGTGTGTGTGTGTGTACCGTCAAATTGGATCTGACTGGTACAAGAGGAGATTGCCCCACCTTCTCCAGCAGAGCATCTATTGGATTTGAACCGCATGCCCCTGGGATTGCAGTGCAGTTTCTTGCCACTAGGCCACCAGAGCTCCCTTGGAACCTTGTCTTTTATGCTGTTACTTAGTTGTTGTTATGTGCTATCTAGTAAGGGACCAACTCATAGGTGACTCTCCAATGGTCTCCAATGGTTTTTCAGGGGCGATAAATCAGACGGGAGGATATCTTGCTCCCACCAAGCAGCTAGTGGACTCGAACAGCATGCCTTTCGATTAACAGTGCAACTCTTTACCAGCTAAGCCACCAGAGCTATATGTGCATGTTATGAATGTATACACGTTATTTACCTGTGCGCATTATATGTAATGGTAGCCAGCCAAAAGTTATGCAGTTCTCCATGAGAGAAGGGTGAGCAATCTCCGATACACTTTATAGCCTCTGAGAACTCTTTTGAGGCTCAGTTATGAGTTGGTTCTGACTTGACAGTAATATGTTTGATTTAATCTCTTCTACTTAAAAAAAACTCACAACTCTCCTACTTAGAGTTAACTGAATATGGACTTTAATCACATTTACGTAATTCTTGTAGAACACCACCTGGATCTGAAATTGATTGAATAACTTGAGACTACATAAGGTCAGCTGATGATGGACTTTAACCATATCTGCAAGAATACTTGCACAACAGCACCTGGATTTTTATTTGATTGACTAAATGGGGACTCCGACCTGGCCAACTTGATGCATTGAGCAATTATATTTAGTTTCTAGATAAAGACAGTAGCAGAGTCACCCATCTGCCTAATATGATACAGCTGTATCCTGAGTATAATTAAAAGCCCTTTCCACAGAAGAGGATGCACAGTCCCAGGGAGATAGCCAGTCTTTTCTGTTGATATCCTGTAACATAAATAAAGGCAGATCACGATTTACGACAGGTTTCCATTCCATTCTGTCATAAGTGGATTTGATGAAAGTTGCCGAATGCCTCC